TTCTATTCAGTCCAGAACCTCAGCCCTTGGGATATGGCTGCCCACATTCAGGCTGGGTCTTCACAGCCACACCTCTCTGAATGCTTCCCGTAGTCAAATGCAAAAAGTGTGTCTCCTAGGTGATTCCCAAATCTAATCAAGTTGCCAATGAAGACGAATCATTACTTTTATTCTCTTCTGGGAAGTTGCTGGGGGATGAAACCAAGGGTCCTAGGCATGGAAGACAGTCTACAGCTGAGTTCCCCCCCGCCTGCCTGTATGTGTGTCCATGTCTGTGTGTCTGTGTGTGTGTGCTCTCTGTGTCCTTCTCATGTGTGCACACACATATATTATACATTACACATTATACATAATATATATACATACACACACACATATATATATGTGTATATATATACATACATATATATACACATATATATATAATTCTTCCATTCTCTAACCCCTTCACATCATTTTCCTTGTGACTCCACCTCTCAATTCTCCTAGGTCTGTCCATTCTGTTCCTATCTATGTATGGCATGCAACCATTGTGTGTCTGATGCCATTGTTCTGTCTGTCCATCTGCAGAGAGTGTGCATGATGAAACACACAAGCTAGCTGCTGGTAGAAGGTGTGTGACAGAGGGTGGGTTGTGCACTTTGGGGTACAGAGCTCAGCAAAGAAACTTCTCTGCTGAGTTCCTCGGCCATTCCAGACATCGCTGTAGGATGCGCTCTGCCTGCCCAGGCAGGCCCCAGTGTAATTCACTTATCCCCTGTCACCAGCAAGCTCTCCCCACCTTTGCAGCAATCCCGTAAACATTTATTGAGTGGGGCCTTATCAAAGCTCATCTTAAATATTTAATCAGCATCCACTCAATAAAATCTGATGGGTTTTTTTTTTTTTTACTAAACCACAACATTTCCCCACACATACTTTAAGTTAACTGGTCATGCATTCATTCAAAAGGTACTGTTTGAATACTGGGTGTCTGATACTTGGCCTTGCCCCAGGGTGAGGCAGCTAGCTCTGCTGCACACTCATTTCATCTGGAAGAGTATGGCAGTCACTGGAATGAATGTCATGGATAAAATGTATGTCAGGTGGTGACTAATGTCCATGAGAGAACAGCAGCAGGGAAGGGCTGAAGGCCACCTGTTGGGATGGCACTTGGGAGCCACCCAAGGGAGAGATGGAGTCAGGCTCACAAAAGGACTTGGTTATTGGCTGGCAGGACAAGGCGCCACCCCAGATCCATATCCAAAACCATGTTAAGTGAATAAAGCAAATCACAGACGAGCACGGTGTGACCGCTTGCATATGGTGTCTCAGGAAGTCAGTTTCATAAGAACAGCATAGTGAGTGGAGGTCAGAGGTGGCAAGTCTGGGAAGGGACATGTTGGTCCCGGGTACAAAGTCACATGAGGCTGGGGGTGGAGCCTTTAGCCATGTATGCACTGTACTCTGACCATAGTGAATGACATGCTGGGTAAGTGAGATGGCTTAGTGGGTGAGCGTGCTTGCAACCAAGCCTGACAACCTGAGTTTCATGTCCGGGATCCACTGAGTAGAAGAAGAGAATTGAGTCTTACAAGTTGTCATTTGATATCCCCACTTTCTCTTTCACCTCTCTCTCACTCTCTTACACACACACACACACACACACACACACACACACACACACACGCAACATGCCCTTCCAAATTTTCACCATAGAAATAATGATAGAAAATGGCATAGTGATGGACGGATGAATTAGCTTGATTTCATCTTTCTATGATGTGTTTACAGGTTGAAACACCACCCAACAGTCTGGACAGATGTTCATGGATTAGCGGGGATAGACTGTCCCTAGGGAGAACTGCAGTTTGTGACACCCGCTTTTTCTCCTTCCTCCTTTTCGAGATCAGATCTCAGTCTGTTGCCCTGAGTCACCGAGAACTCTGTGTAGACCAGGCTGGCCTCAGGTTCCCAGAGATCAGCCTGCTTCTGCCTTCGGGTGCTGGGAATAGAGCTGCATGGCTACCATATCAGGCAAGATCCCACCTTTTACTTGCCAAGTTACCCAGCACTGAGAAAGCATGGGAGGAGGTGGGCGGGGGGGTTTCTCTACCTCATCCTTCGAGGGTGCTAAAGTCCAGTGATAGGTGGGTATCCTATGGGCTGGGACCTAGTAGCTGGGCTCCAGCACCAGGCAGATGGTCCTGCTAAATGTGTTTTCCATCCAGTTTTTGCTATTGTCATTAAATCAGGTGTCTCCCTTTATCCAACGACAAAATTATACCAAAAGAAACTCCTGGTTTTGCTCTCAGCTTTAGAAACAAAGGTCTGTGCTAGCAATCTGTTTAATCCTTGGGTTCAGATGGGGCTGAGCCCCCCCACTCTCCTTCTGGGGGAAGGCAAAGAAGACTGAAAGGAGAAGAAAGTTATAAATCCCCTTTCTCCCCGAGCAGCACCTAGGCACCAGGCTAAAAGTCATTATTACCAACAGCCTGGAGGTCAGAGTCCAGTTTCTCTGGCTCTGGGAAGAGGGCTATCCACAGAACCATCTGGAACCTTCCACAGTGAGGTGACCAGTTAATAGGAGAAGTTGTCAGAGCAGGCAAGAGTTACTGCAATCACCTTACATTTTGACGTCCTTTCTCCCTCCCTCCCAAGGCCTGGAAGCCCTCTTCTCGTCCTCTTTAGGAAGTGAGCTGGACTCAGGACTCTTAATTCCCATTTAAAGTCAGGACAATTGAGATGATAATGATAGCCCGAGTTTATTGGGTGTTATTTTCCACTTTATCATAGTAATCGGAACATTTATTGAATGTGTTACTACTCTTCTAAGCCTCGAGTTAAGGGCCTTATATGTTAGTCTTTGTCTTCTGGATGCTCAGTGCTGCCTTCCAGTCTGCAGAGGAGGAGTTCGAGAGGCAGATATCTGCCTAAGAGCACTCAAGTGGAGAGAGCTGGGGTGAGGCAGCTGTGTGTCCTGTGGCCTTGCTACAGGATGGCAATTGTGCATGTACGTGTGTGTGTGTGAGTGTGCGTGTGTTTGAATGTTTGGAGCAAGGTGGATCAAGTCTTGGCCTTGGCCAAATCTGAGGCAGGGCTAACAGGAAGTCTGACTTGGTTGGGTGCTGGGGGGTGGTAAGATGGGGCAATCTGATAAAGGGTGGTGTCAAAATCGAGGGTGTCCTCGAATTCTGCAGGGGTGGGTTGAAGAGAAAGCATGGGCAGCTCTGGACGGGGCAGGGGTAGGCGTTTCTTTTCTTGTGTGCTCATAACCACTGTTTTCCTGTGCTCCAACGAGGCCCAGATCTCAGCAGAGTTCCTGTTTGATCCACACCTGTGCTTACTAACACTGATACAGATTTTGAGGGTGCCAATGGGAACGAGCCTGCAATACACAGCTATGCACAGTGGCACTGAGCCGCACCCAGTCTCACACAGCCATCCATACCTAAACGTGCGATTACTAATATTTCTCTCTTAAAGGTTATTTTCATTTATGTGTGTGTGTCTGTGAGGCTGCGTGCGTTCATGTCCACCACCGTGCACAGGTACCCAAGTAGGCTGAAAGAAGGTGTTGGATCTCCTGGAACGGGAGTTCCGCCTGGCTGTGAGTGGCCTGTTGCGATGCTGGGAACCGAACCCAGGTCCTCCGAGTAAGAACTTTTTAATTACTGAGACAGCCCTCGGGCCCCACCTACTTATTAACGCTGATGAGACTTTGAGGGTGCTGAGAACATACCCTTATTACGTACACCCTCGCACCCACTCACACCCACACTCATCTACACTCATACCCTCACACCCACTCACACCCATCCAGACCCACACTCACATAAAACACACGACACCCACATCCCGAACACCTTGGACGCGTACAAGGCTGCATTCTTACACATCCAGAGAGTAATCACGCATCACGTGCATACACTCGCACACCCCTCTCACATCGACGGGGCCACGCTCAGGTAGATACGCACACTTGTGCAAACCACGCTCACAAGCACATGCTGACTATGAAAGCACAGAGCAGAAGATACCTTAGCGTACGCAGACCCACACTCACCTACACCCCTTACATAGTCCTGCTACCCACATCTCCCCACATTCACACCCTCAACACTTGCTCACGCCTACCCACACCCTGTCAAGCCCCCCACTTTCACCCCGTTCTTCATTCTTTACTCCCACCTACTTTTACTTCCCATAACCCCACACAGTATCCCTCAGTACTTATACATACTTGAACACCCAAGATTCTCACACGTACACTTACCCATACTTTCTCCCCCCACACACCCACACTCTCGCCACTACGCTCACACATCCTCACCCTCACAACTTCCCCCGTGCTTGCACACATGCTCTCTTACAGCCACCCTCACTCACACTCTCACCTCCAGACACATACAGCCCCGGGGCCAATCTAGGCCACCTTTTGATGGGAAAGTCCTGGAAAAGACTCAGCAGTTCCTAACAGGCTAGTGTTAGGACCCAGGAAAGGCCAGAATGGGGTGGATATAAATAGAGGAGAACAAAGTTTGAGGCCCGCTGACATCACTCTGGCTCTCCACCCAAAGCCACGGGCTGGACTCTGGGCCAACGAGGTGTGGCGGAGCTCAGCTGCAGAGAGAGGCAGCACAGACATCACTAAGCTCCAAACTCTGGGCTGAGCTCTGAGCTCCGACTTGAGACTTGAGACTGGAAGGAAGTGCTCACCAGTCCCAGGCCCAGGACACAGACTCCTGAGCCTGCAGGCTCCAGAGGCTCTGCCTTGTCCAGCGGTAGCCAGAGGCTGGACAGTGGTGGAGCCAAGGAGGACTGCTTCCCCTACTCAGCGCTGCAGCTAGCCTTCGGGTCTCTAAAGACTCCAGTTTGGAGAGGACAATCGCCCCAACTGCTTTCAGGCGCTCTACACCACAAACTTTAGGGGACAGACTTTGTGGCCAGAATCCTGCGATGAAGATGTCTCTGCCCCCAGGAAGCAGGAGGTAGAGAGGCTCCCGGGAGGCTGTGGGGGAATCCCAACTCCTGTTCCCACCATGAAGGATCTACCAGCACCGCCTTGCCGTTGGGTCTGGCTGCTCTGCTCTTTCTGCAGCTTCCAGGTAACACCAGGCCTCCAAGGCAGCTGGGATACACACCTGCTGGCGAATGGGCCCCTGCACTCACCCTTTGATTTTTCCTTGCAGGTGTGTGGCACTCATCCCAGAGCCCAGGAACATCCAGGTAAGCCCTGCCCCTCTTTTCTGATGGCAGTCTGCTTTTCTCTTTGCCTTTGGTGTGTGTGTGTGTGGGGGGGTAAACAGAAACTATCTGTTTAACCTCCTGTTGGGATCCTCATTCCCAGCACATGCTTTTGAGACCACAGTCCCGGTGTGACCAGTGTCTTTAGGTAGGTGACAAGGAAGCCGATCTCTGAGCCAGCCGCCTCTTGCCCCAGGTGTTGTTTTCTAACTAAGGAGGTATGCCCTTCTGGCAAAATGTCTCTGGCTCTTTCAAACTTTACACTTGTGCCTGCTTATGGCCGCCACCAGGGGTACTCTCCCTGCTGTCTCCAGCCTCATGGTGCTGTGGGCTGCCTTCCTAAGTGCCCCGGACATCACCAGGTAGTGCCTTGCACTTGCGCTGGACATGCAGTGTGTCAGGGGTGGGGGCTCACCACTGGGACATTTGTCTTTGCCTGTGTGACTCCCTTTCCAGAAGTGCGAAGGTGATGTTCGTTGGAAAGACAGATCACAGCCCTGTTAAGAGAAGAGGGCTGCCACCTCCACAGTGGGGGTGGATGGGAAGGGGCTTGCTGCCTCCTTGTGGCAGGTCCTCTGGGGTTGGGGTTCTTGCTGAAGGTTCGAGTCAAAGGACAAGAATGTGTGGCCCATTTCTGGGAAAGCCTGGTGGGTCAGGGTAGAGAAGCCAGTGACTCAGAGCTCAGGGAGACTGGGGTTCCCAGAAGAACTGATCAATTGGACCAGCCTGCCTCTAAATGGGGGCCCTGCCCCTTAGTGCTCCCAAGCCAACCCGGCAGGCATGGTGAAGGGCAGCAGAGGGAGATGATCCAGAGAACATACCTGAAAGGAAAAAGAGCCTCACGTCCTCCCCCCCGCCCAGGCTGGGGCTGCTCATACCAATAGCATCATCAGTCAGTCAGACCTAGAACCGTATATACAGCTGGTCTGAGAAAAGAAAGCTCCAAAGGCTTTTTCTTTTTTCCTTTTTCATTGATTTTTTGAGACAGGGTTTCTCTGTGTAGCCTTGGCTGTTCTGGACTTGCTTTGTAGACCAGGCTGGCTTCGAATTAACAGAGATCCGCCTGCTTCTGCCTCCTGAGTGCTGGGATTACAGGTGTGGCGCCAATCATACCAGGCTTCAAGGGCTTTTTCTACATCCACACATGTCTGCACATACCCATACATGTCTGCACATACTTACACACGCTCACAGCCACACTGCACCCATGAGCTAGCGTCCTGGACTTTAGAAACTTCTGTGCTTCGCTCTGTGTAGACGCCTCCTTGTTCCTGACCTGATGTCGGGTAGAACAAAGTCCCTCAGTGGAGGACTGACAGTCACTGGGGCAGCTCATGTGCACTATGGAAAAAGAAGGCGAAGAAGGGGAAGCCTCAGGGTGTCCAGGGAGCCTAGGTGCCTTTCAACATCCCGTTTAGCCCAAGATGGCTTCATTCGGGTCCCTTCTCACGCCTGCTTCCTCTGTTGCAAGGCAAAACCAAAAGGCTTCTTTCTCCCTCTCCCCTCTTCCCCTTCTGCCTCCTCCCTCACCTTTTCTTTCTTTTTTTCCCATTTTCCCTTCCTCCTTCCTCCCTTCTATTTCTGTCCTTTGTTTTTTCATCCCCTTCATTATATGTCCTCACTGCCACCCCCAACTCTGACCCATTTTTTGTCTACTCTTGTCTTCTATAATATTCAGCCCTCTCTGCAAGGCCTCCTTGGATTTTCTCCTCCTATGACCAAAGCCTAAGAAACCTCTGAGGAGACTTTATAAAAACATGATCTCTGACAGGGGCCCCATGAGAGTTCTAGATGGGTACAGAGTTGGACATATGAGCCAACGGACTGTCCGGACACGGAGGGTGGGAGTCAGGACTGGTTGTCACTTGCCAAGAAAGGGAGTGGCCTTGGATTGCCTAAAGTAGCTTAAGGAGCACATAGAGGCAGCCTCCTGGTTCTCTTCCCCAGTGTCACCTGTCCACACTCACTGGCACAGCAGCCAGTCGGTGGCAAGCCTGTAGCTAGAGGGGTTAGTTCAAACTCACAGGAGCGAGATAATACCATCTGGAGGGGCTTAGGGGAACTGACACCTAGAGGTCACTAAGAAGCAACACAGGAAACATCTGCCCACGGGTGTGTGAGGGGCCGACAGGACTGGTAAGCTATTGCATTGTCTCACCCTGGCTCCAACCCTGTGCCTGCAGCACAAGGCAGGGTTCAAAACAGTCCCCAACCACCTTCTGTGCCCTGTCTGTGGAAACACAAGGTTGTCATCCGGGTTGAGGTCACCTGCATTTTCAGCTCTCTAGGCTTAGGTGTCTATACTGAGCCGGGTCACCACATAACTTCTGGATTCTTGTACTTATGGTGTGAGCTCACTGCTTTAGAAATCTCAAAATGGTATGAGGCCCTATGGAGTGCTGACACCTTCTGAGTTTCCCTCTGACTGTGACTGTGGGAGGTCACCGCAGCAGAACTGTAAAAGCTGCAGTTGGAAGGGACCTTAGAGACTATTTAGTTCAAGTTCCCACTTGACTGGGAAGCCAGAAGTGGAAGGGAGGATCCAGAGAGGACTAACCACCCTCCCCACTTATCTGAGACACTCTCACACCTCAGGTCCCGATTCACAACCCTCTGCTCTCCAGGACGACCTAGAAAGCTCTGAGGTTGGTGGATCCAAACCCATAAATGGCATTCGACAAGATTGCAGGCCACTTTGTAAAAGTTTATAAACATGCCCTTTTATAGAGGATGTTTGTAACGGAGGGACTGGAAACGAGAAAAATAGCAAGCTGTGTCGTTACCCAGTTCCTTTCCAGGCCATTGCTTCAAGGCCCTACTCAGCGTGAAAAGCAGGTAGTGACAGTCATTATAATTCCATGTATTCACACAGCAGCCTTTGAAGGACTTCTGAAACCACTGGGTCACAGCAGGGAAGCCGTTCTCCATCTTTTCAGTTGAAAAGAGTATGTATTCACTATGTTTTTAAAAGGTTTTATGTGTACGCATGTTATGCTTACATGTGTGTCTGTGCACCATGTACATGCTTGGATCCTGTGGAGGTCAGAAGAGGGCATCACATCCCCTGGGAATGGAGTTACAGATGGTTGTGAACTCCCATGCGTGTGCTGGGAATCAAATCCATGTCTTTTGCAAGAGCGTGCAGTGTTTTAACCACGGAGCTATCTCTTCAACCCCCATAATGGATTTTAAAAAACAAAAAAACAATGTATATTCCATATCAAATACATGGAAATATAGCAAGTGGAGATTTTCTGGAAGATGCTAGATTTATAAATATATTTAATGTGTATAATTATATTCTGTGGTCATTCTATGTTTATGTTTAATTATACTCTGTTTAGTTGTACTTGTACTCTGTCATTTATTCTACCTATATAGTTATGTTTTTAATTACTAACATTTAAAAAGGGAGGCTGCAAATGCAAAAACCTGAATTTCACACTTGCACATGCGTGCATGCACATTTGCAGAAGGGTCGTAATTTGACCCAGCAGACACAAAACATGAAAGAGATGGACTCCCTCTCCCCCAACCACCTACACAGATCAGGCTGATACATGGCTGTGGGTCACCACCATGAGAAAATGGAACAAGATGTTGGAGTCAGGAAACTTTGGAAGGGGAACAGAGATCCAGAGTAGAAAGAGACAGCTATGAACAACATAGGGAAGGGTATTCCAGACAGTGGGGACAGCAGGCAGCATCCTTCAGGGAAACGGGCTTTGTGGGGCCAAGGCCAGTGGCAGATGGCAGAGAGGCACCAACTTTTCCCAGGAGAGAGGTTTCAGTGGTGTCCTGGTAGCAGAGTCCAAAGGAGTAACCTCCAAGGGAGGCCCCTGACCACATAGGAGCCAGGCTGGGAAGGGAAAAGATCAGAGCATGGAGGATTTGAGCACTGGTACTCATCTTCTCTCCCTGGGTTGACGGGACATTGAATGCACATAGAAAATGAATTCTGAAGAGCTGGCTTATAATTATGGTCTAGACTAAAAACCTATCTCCTATTCCTTCCTTTTTTTTCTGTTCTCTCGCCCTCTCTCTACTTCTTTCTCCCCCTCTCTCTTTCCCCTCTCCCTGTCTTTGTTCCTCTTTCTTTTTCCACTCTCTTCCTTCTCTTCTCTCTGCCTTCCTCACTCCATTATTTTCAGTCTCTGACATCCTGTCCTGTTCCTTCCTGACCTGCCTGCCATCCCTGTGGGAGCTCAAGGTAGCTATGTGACTAACTTCCATATGCTTGTCACCTTTGGATTTGAAAACAGCCATGAATGGTCTTTTTTCACATAGGAATGAGACTGTCTTGCTCTTACAAAACGTTGGGGGGGGGCATGGGTTGTCCCACCCTGTAGGGTGTTAAGGGACCTGTGGGTTGAGTCTAGCCCATCTTATTAACAACACACAATTTTAATTAAAAAAAAAAAACAACAACAAAACCCGGCAATATTAGCATTTGGAGGAAATTTCAAAATCCAATTTAAAACATCTGTATTTCTGACTTATCTTTCAAAAGCGGGACACCTGAGTCAGCACAATGATAATGGCCTATCATAACTGCACTCAGAGGCGAAGGCGGAGGTAAGAGGATTTTTGAGTCCACAGTCAGCCTGCTCCCCCAAAGGACGGACGCCTTGTTTTAATAAAACAAAAATGAACTAGGAAGCTCATTGCTGGAAAGGAATAATTCTTCCACTCTCGGCTTTCCTTGGTTGACTGTAGTTCTTTGTCTAGGGGTGGGGCCTGTAAGATTTCCCCCTTCCACACTGATGTGTCAACTGTTGTCCCTCTTCAGGTCTTGTTTAGGCAGCCATATTGTTAAGGAATCATGGTTGAAGCTTTCCTGTCATCCATTTCTAGGGGACACAGTCTCACAGCAGATTTGCTGGTCCTCTGACTTGTAGAAATTTCCTACCTTTCTCTTCTGAGATATTCCCTGAGGCTTACGTGCAGGAGTAGTATCGTAGCTAGACCAGCCAGGCACCCCA